AACGTAATATTTGCTGAAATGTACCAATTTTTTTATTTCAAAACATTACATTTCTACTAAATTTGCATGAAACCCCACCAAGTGCCCAGACTATCTCTAAATTTCAAAGAAAAAATATTATAAACCCAACATACTTTTATCAAAACACAAATCATTGTTCTTTAAATCAATACGAGCATGTTTTCGAAAAAAAATTAAAACAAAACATGAATCACTAGTTTATCAGATTTTTAGTAATACTTTAAGAAAAATTAATTTTGAAATTCAGGTAAGGTTTCCGTCTAACCGTTTCAATCGCGTGTGTTACCTCTTCTAACTCGAATAACTTCCCTCAACTGTCTTGGAATGCCATAAAAATGGTTCGTAATGAATTCTTGGGGTATGTTGTATAACGACTTATTGTTCCATTAGTAAGATAATATTTTCTTTTATTTGTTTAATAAATTCGCTCTTACTTTTAAAACACGGCGTATGTAGAAAAGACAAACTTCGTTTGTATGTACGAATGAAAAGTAATGTTATTACATTTTTCATTCCCTTTTTCTGCAAATATTTTAAGATTAAAACATTTGCAAAATAACTGTATAACACCGTGTTGTTTATCCGACCATATATCGACGTTTTCTGCCTAGGGTGTTGAAATACACTTTATCTTGAATGAGGCGTAATTGATTGAACTTATAAAAGTATGTCAGTAATGTGGATTATCTTTTTTATTCTCTAACAACTTTCGATATTGTCAAAAATAACGGTACTTTTGAGCAAAATTAATATTTTTTGACAAAACATGGACACAAACTTTAGAACACGTATTTTCAACTTTAGAACACGCAGCTTTGTTTATAAAGAATAAGGTGTTTCGTAAAATTGATAATAAAAATGTTTTCCATATGCTGCCAACTTACGTAGACGCACTGTATAAACGACCATCCTACTATCACTGCAAAGTAGTAGTAATTATATCGAAACTCGCTCGGTCGCTCACAAAGTAGAAAGCAATAATACATAGCCACAGTGGAATTTCATCAATTAATCCGTTCTAGTTTTAGAAAACGCACAAATCCGAGTGCTTTTAAAATCATTTCATATACGAAAAGGTTTGGTCAGAATTTAATTATTGCTCTAGGTCAGTGCCATTATGTAATATATTGACCAGTAAGCTATAAAGTGGCATAAACCTAATTTTATCGTTAATTATTACATAAGGATTAACATTCATGATATGCGTAATACTTTAAAATTAGGTTTTAATAACACGATTTTTACATAACGAGATTTGGACATTATGTAAAAATGAATTATAAATTTACAAGCAAATGTTTTAATAAAACTAATTATTCTGTTAATTCACATTATTCCAAAATCTTTAGTGCACTATTTAAGATGTACGTTTCCGACTAATTGCTTATAAACTTTTTCATCTACTCTATACCTAGAAATAAACACATCAAAGTTTACGATTACAACTTGAAAATTAGTTAAAAATTTGGGATGTTTAAAATGTATAAATTGCATTTAGAATAAATTGCAAATTTAAATTGATCTTTCAATTAGGCTCAAATAGGGCTCATACTCTAAGTTATGTACGTCAATATGCGTTAAAACATATTATTATTAAAGCGTCAAATGAGAACATCATTTGTAGATGTACACAGAAAAGTACGTATGTAAATGTATTATATGAACGCTATAATTTACTTCAATTTTAATCAATTTTGTTTCTACTTGCGTGTTGTTACACATGAAATATTATTTAGCTTCTTTTTAATCATTCGCATTTACATGACAATTCAAAGAACTAAAATGTATATACAGGGTGTTTGGTAAGTAGATGTATTTCTTGCGGGGGGTGATAGTGCAAGTAATTTTGGATAGATTTCGATAATATACCGTATTCCGAAAACGCTTAATTTCCCATCTACAGGGTGATAAAGTTTTAATTTAAAAAGTGTTAGATACTTATTAATATTGCGGAAACAGCTTGGAATATTTAAACGACATTTTATAGGCTCAGGCTCTTAAAAAGGATACATATTTTGTGATGAAAATTTTGTTTCTAGATTTTCCAGTGGCGTGGGCACACACAATAATAAAAATGTTACGCCACTGGTTTTTTAAGCAATAAATCTGATGATTCAAATTCCTGTTTAATTTGGAAGAGAATAGATCTCTTGATGTCTTTTCCTACGACGTCCCCTTTTCCAGTAAATAAATTAAAATCGATTTATTGCATAGCTTAATCGGGTTGTAATTAAGTAGGGTTTAGTATAAAAACAAAAATTGTGCACTAGATTGTGACAAAAATAGATTGTATCAATTTTATTACAAAAAAAACGCAAAAAGAAGTTACTCAGACACTCGAAATAACAGCAATTCTTTTTTTCAACCCGTGACCATAACTATTGCAGAGCCAACTTTTAAAATAAAAACTCGATTACGCTGGGCAATAAATCGATTTTAATTTTTTCACTCAAGCACGGTGCGTTGTGGAAAAAAGTCAAGAGACCTATTCTCTTCCAAATTGAACAGGAAATTGAAAACTAATATTTATTAAAAAAAAAAAAAATTTCTTTAGACGTGCCTGTGCCCACGCCACTGGAAAATATAGAAACAAAATTTTTATCACGGAACATATATTGCTGTTAAGTGCCTAAGTCCATAAAATGTCATTAAAATATTCCAAGGGGTTTTCGGAAAATTTAAAAACATGACTTATTAAATTAATACTTTAACACGATGTAGATCGGAGACTAAGAGCACAGCGTATA